TAGTCACAATCCTCCATTAAGTGTACGGGTTTCCCCAGGAAAACCCCACTCTAGACGTAGACCTCTAATCAAAGTTCTGTAAAAGGAATGCTTATCCGGCTCCTTGTCCTTTACTTTGACCCAACAGCTATTTTTGATAAGACATCTTAAAAATTGACTGCAATTTTTCATAATGTGACCAAAATACTGGGATAGACAATATATGTCTCCTACATATACATTCTTTCCCAGATCTATTAGAAAACTTTCTATAACAAAATGTGATTCTAGAAGAAAATTTCTTATAGGCTGTTTATTTTTTAATTTCTTTTTTTTTAATGGTACCAGGAATCGAACCTAGGGGTGCTTAATCACTGAGCCACATCTTCAACCCTTTTTTATATTTTTCTAGAGACAGGGTCTCACTGAGTTTCTTAGGGCCAAGTTGCTGAGGCTGGCTTTGAACTTGCAATTCTCCTGCCTCAGCTTCCTGAGCCGCTGGTGTTACAGGTGTGTACCACTGGGCCCTGCTCATTTTAGAATTTCATCCATGAGAGGTACAGAATTAAAAAATCATGAGATCCCGGATCAACCCTGACACTGTGAAGCAATGCTATGGTGTCTCTGAGGTGACACCTGGTTTCATTTTGTGAGAGAAGGCACCTAATGGGGGAGCAGCTATTTGGAGAGTTTTAACCAGACAAGCTTGTGGGCATCAGACAAGCTTCCACACACTACTATTCATCAAGTTCTAATTTTTCAAGGATTCTTTTTTTCTTTTTAGAGGAGTGGATATGATCAGTCTATTAGCAAATGCTTGTCTACACCTAAAATATATATGTCATTGGACCAGGCACTCGTGTAACAAAACATGATTATAGGCCTCGAGTAACTTCTAAGAGCTTTTTGCAGTTACAGGAATGGTATTGTCTTGTTTCAGATGCCTACAGTGAGGAGGATCTAATGCTCTACTGGAGATATGGGAACAAGTCCTTAAATACTGAAGGGCATATTTCCCTTTCTCAGTTCTTCATTGAGGAGTTCAGCGCATCCAGTGGGTTAGCTTTCTATAGCAGCACAGGTACAGCATTTTATGTGACCAATTCATCAGCATTTATTGAGCCCCTATTCTTTGCCAAGTACCACAACATATGAAGAAAACTGAATCCAAGCAAATGTCCTATTTGGCCAAAAATATCACCCAGCTGACTGCCTCTACTGTTCTAATACACCATTTCTCACCCCTCATTCAGACACCTCTGACCTCATGCCTTGCTTCCTCTCTGCCACCTCCATTCTATTCTCAGTACAGCAGAGTGATCTTTTGAAACATAAAGATCATAGTTCTTTCCTGCTCAAAAACTTCAGTGTTTTTCATCACATTTAAAACCGGATTCAAGCTTCTCAACATGGTCTACCTCCTGCCTGCTGCTCTGACCTCACCCAATGTCAAAACAGTGAATAGAATATTGCAATATTTCATGCTAAAAATGTGACATATATAAAGTATAAAAATCCCTTTATATTATTTCCTGCACTGTGTAGATAGATATAGATATAACATATATAATAATGGTAATGATATTTCTTAAGATTTGAAGCAAAAGTATCCACAAATATAATCCAGCTCTTCTCTTTAAAAGAAAAGGTTAAATTTCACTTCTATATTCTAACTCCCCCCCCCCGCCCCACCAAGATACTCCATTGACTCTACTATCCCTCTATTCATACTTGTTAACCTTTTGAGCCTTGCTAGGTAGGCTCAACACTAGTTGATTTTTTTTTTCCTTCTGGTCATGTTTTGGAGTCTGTCAAAATTCAGACAAACTACTTACACTGGAAATTTTACTTCTTACAAAGATGCTTTGAAGTGTTTTAAAATAAATTAAAAATTCTTAACATTCAAGAAATCGAATTTTGGTTCCTCAGAAAATTGAGAAACAATAGAATTAGGGTTGAATGTACAGTTGTACGTTGCATTAGATGGAGAATTATTCATAATCAATTTTTAAAAATTCAAAAAGCGTTTTACAAAAGACTATATACATGTAATGCATTCTCATGTTTGTAATTGAAGAAAGGATTAAGCACATGTGTGTGCTTGTATATGTGTGCATTTTAAATGTCTACAGATTTAATCAAAGATATATCTGAGGAGTGGGTATAGATTGGGGAGATTTTTTAATTTAATTTTAGCACTTCGTATTTTTTCATTTTGCTAATATGTACACATTTTAATGAGAAGGATTAAAATGGATTCTAAGGGTCAGAAAAGATACAAGAGTAAAGCATTTTGGAAGTTGTATTCAAATATTAAATTAATAATCATAACTGAGTTCCCTTCATCAAAACTATTCCCAAGGTTTCAGAAAGATCATATTTAGACATTTATTTCAGTTCACAAATATGTGATAATTCTGACTCATATTATCTATGAATTTTTTAACACGGTCTCCTGAAAGTCAAACTCAAGTGTCTTTCCCAGAATAGTATCCTGTCTAAATATATAAGCTTCATCAAAAATATTTTTGACACTTTTTTTTTCATTTCTATCATTTACAATCATCAACTGTACCCACTACTCTCAAATCATCTATACAGAAAAACTCTGGTTAGAAGAGCTAGAAATACAGTTATGGAATCTTAGTTTACATTTCACAGCTGAACCACAGGGTCCTCACTTTTTTCCTTGGCTTCACTTTCAATGCTCTCATTGCCACTATACAAAAAAAAAAAAATACTATCTGGCAACATTAACAAGTGGGTGAGGGCTTCTGCCCCTCAGCTCTTTCGATGTGCCTCCAGATGATGTACTCTGGATAGACAAAGAAAGAAGAAATGGCTCCTGCCCCAATGGATTAGTTTTCATAGCATAATGCACTTGCTGAAAGTGTCTGTACTGAGCAGAGGCTGCCCAAGCTCAAACCTCAATCACTTATTAGCAATGTGGCCTTGGATGAGTTGCTTCATCTCTCAAACCCTCAATTTCCTCATCTCTAAATGGGTTTCATAATACTCTCTACCTCATAAGGTTGTGAGGATACATGAATTTATACACCGAAACAACTTGGAGTCCTATTTATTTCTGAGATGGTGAATTCTCAATAAATATTAGTCAGCAGGCAATATCACCTCACTATCTTCATCAACATCATGATCTTTTGAAAACAGTCTAGGGCTTTAGTGTCAAAGGCCATTGAAGGTAACAGTTTTCTGGGCATAAAAACTTGCTTTGTCTTGGTATTTACTTACTCTTCCAATACTGCCTCTCTGTTTCATTTTCCTGGCTGCCAATTCTCCAGCCATTTTCTCTTTTTCTCTAATTTCTTTTTTTCTACAGTGTGGCAGTTGAATGGAGGTAGATGGACCCCCACACACAATCCAAAATTTGGTTCAGGTGTCAAACTGATGATGCCATGCATGTGATAAATGATATGAAAAAAAATTCTTATTCACATAATGGATTTTCTAGAAAGAGCAGCACAGGCTCCCAAGCAGGTCTAAAAATGTGTTGAGAGAACAGAGAGGCATGGCTGGGTTTTATGGAGGTTTGGGAGTGGAGCTAAGCAGGGGTTCCCTTTCATGTATCAGGACTGCGTGTTTGAACTTCTCAAAGATACACACAAAGAGTGCACTTGGGCTTTTTTTTTTTTCATTAGGAAGTAGAAGTAGGGCTTCAGAGCTCTTAGTACTCCAACATCAACCTGGAGTCAGACTCTATTACATTACTCAAAATGATGGCTCCACACTGTTTCAAGGTAGCACTACTTTTCCTGGTAGGTAAAGGAATTTCTACTGGTCTAGATTTAACCACAATACCATTTCCAATCTTCTCTTTCCCTAAGAACCACAAGACAAAGTAGCATTTCTCCTTTCTGGTTACCCCCACCCCAATCTCAGAAACTAGACAATCATTCTCCAGAAAAGTATGAATAAAGGAATGGTACAAGATGGGGAATATAGTTCAGTGATCGAGCACTTCCTCTGCATGCACAAGGCCCTGGGTTCAGTCCATAACTTCAGAAAGATTGCAGTTTCCTAAATTTATTTCAAGACTTAATAATAAACTGCCAACCACTTAGTTGGTCTCTGTGACTGTGAGTTCTATCTTCATGGATTTAACCCACCCTAGGCAGCAAATATTTTATAAAGGACTTCTCTGCTGAACCTATACAGAATTTTTGTCACTGTTATTCTATAAACAATACAATATAACAACTATTTATATAGTACTTAAATTATTAGGCATCACAAATAATTTAGATATGATTTAAAGCATACTGGAGCATGTGCATAGGTTATCACAATTTTATGTGAGGGACTTGAGCTTCCAGAGATTTTTATGTCCCAGGGGGTCTTGGAACCAAGGACAGATGATTGCAGATGTTTATATTCCCAAGGAATGATTATACAGTTATTATGACTTTCTTTATGCATTACTTTAATAGGTATTCCTTATTGCTTTTAACCTCACAGTAATTATATGAAGTTATCAGGGTAAATGTGATGTTATTGTACTCTACAGTCACAATTTAAACTCTCAATTGCACACAATAATAAAGTGAGGGACACATATGAGATAATGTATAGCTCCAAAAAATGTATATTTTAACCTTATAATGAACTGAGAGTATCTTTCATTACCCCTGGAAATTAAATTGTTTGGTGTTCTTGAATCGTATGTTTCTTCTTTTTTTCCAAGTAGGAAACTCTATTAGGTTGGCACCTTCTAGAATATCAGGCTTATTTCTCTTTTCTATATTCAAAGACAAACTCAATCAAATATCCATCTTTAGGTTACAGATACTTTAAATAAAAAAATATTGATAATCATATGTTTCTTAAAGCATATATATCAGCTGACAATGAAAGTGAAAATTAGAATGTGGTTGAGAAAGAGAGAGAGAGAGTTAGAGAGAAAAGGATAATGAACACTTAAGGATAGGAGACTAGGAGAAGAGCCTGCCAATTCCGTGTGGGTTAATTTGGTCTATATTTTAGACCTCATACCTAAATGTTTGTCAGATCTGTTCAAAAGGTGCCATCTTGAGTTTTCTACATAAATCATTACTAAAACTAGTAGAAAGGTTCTCTAATTTTGTAATACCTCTGATTTTGTTTTATAATTTATAACCTATAGCCTCTGTTTTTAATAATTTTAATGAAAATAAACTGCATTTATCATAGAAAAACTAATATTACCGCTTATTCATAGCAAGTGTATTTTCATGCTTATTCACTTCATCATTCATTGCTTTGTTTTTAGTAAAGATTAAAAGGTTGGCATCACAGTTATTGTGAAATAAAGCAAGGTAATATAAGCTGGAAACATGTGAGTGAGAAAGAAAAAAGCAAAGCAAGGTAAAGAATTGAATAAAATCTGATGTGTGGTCATGTAAGAATGGTGGTCAGAGAAGTCCTACATATGATTTCCCCCCTACACAAAAAAAATGGCTCTATACTTCCTTCTGATCTGTGTGAAAAGGGAAACCTGAACAAAATATTTGTGTGGATATGACCACAATTTGTTCTGTTAATCAGACCAATAACAAATACTACCAATAGAGTCTATAACTCCAGCAACATGAAAAGAACATTATCTTTTGGTTTATTTTTTGCAGATTTATCACAGTCACATTATGGTGTCCATGAGTCTTTAAAATAATGAAAATAACTTAGAGATGGCCTTCTCTCTCCTATTTGAATTTCTAGATGTCTAGATTCCAAGTTAAAATGCAATGACCTAGTACCTACTGTGAAGTTTTTCTTTTAGATAAAATGTTCTCTTCATTTGTTATAGCTAATGAAGAGCTTGTTGACTATTACATGCAAGCATCAATCATGCGTTGAAGACTGTCCTTGTTGTAAAAACACAGCAAGTATAATATATTATCTTTAAAGGCCACCTCACATAATATAATTACCATTCATCCCTGAACTTCAGAGACAAATAATTACGCATGCTGGGACTGGGATTGTGACTCTGGTAGAGTGCTCATCTAGCAGGTGTGAGGCACTGGGTTCGATCCTCAGCACCACATAAAAATAAATTAAATAAAGGTATTGTGCCCATTTACAAATAAAAAAATAATAATTAAGCATGCTGAAGTTAGGTCATGGAACAAACATTAGTGGAGTGCTAGGCTCACTCAGGTTCCAGCTAGGGCTGGAAAAAGAGTTGCATTTATCCAGCTTCATATCCTCTAAGCGCTTTGAGTTTTGAGAAGCAGATCACATCACCAAGTGTAGTGTGGCCAGAAGGAAGCCTGTTCTAATGGAAACTTTGGCTCTTTTTTGTAGGTTGGTACTATAGACTTTTCATCAACTTTGTGCTAAGGAGGCACATTTTCTTCTTTGTGCTAAAAACCTATTTTCCGGCCATGTTGATGGTGATGCTTTCATGGGTTTCATTCTGGATTGACCGAAGAGCTGTTCCTGCAAGAGTGTCCCTGGGTAAATAAATCTTTCCACATCTTGTAAAATGCTAGTAAGGGAGAAAGGCCAGGAGGTAAATATAAACAGTACTGCATGGAGGGGGAAGAGAATGGTGGTTTAGTGGGGATGCTTAGCTATGCACATTAAGATTACAGTATTTACTTTGCCAGCGTCTAGTGCAAATTGAAATTATAATTGGGCTCCTTTCTTGGGAACAGAGACTTTAGGGATGAAGCCTGTGCTGTTGATCTGTCTCTGAATAATGGTAAGGAAAGAAGGTGAATTATGAATCATAAACAGTCTTACTTCAAAAGGCTCTCTTTTCCCTTCAAAGAATCCCTGTCCCTTACCTGTGGTCATTTAGCTTTGCATGAAAAACCCTTACATCATAAAAGAAAGAAACTTTAAGCTGATCCACATTATGTTGTTAGTATCTTAAAAATTTTCTGGGGGAGGTGCAGAGAATGCTTGAAGTTGGAAATGTGAGTGCTGATTAGAAATATGGGCTTAACTCAAAGGCCAAAGTCAGAAGCATCCACAGTGGAATAATAGGTGCTGTAGCACATTAGTTGGCATGAGATTTCAGGTGGAGAGACAGTGCCAGCCTCATTAAGTCACCACACAGGGGTGATTATCTACTCCATCTAGTATTTTATATGCCCCTGTCACACACACTGATTTATGGGAACCATTTCAGACCCACTTAGCGGTTATAGAGTCCTTACAAAGTGGAAGGTGCCAAGCTAAGCACTTAGATGACATGTTACTTAATGAGAACTGGAGTGAATCCCACTTGCTTTCTTGACTGGTTCAGGGCAGAGCTCCCTCATTTCATCTAATTTTGTTCTTTCACCTGTAATGCTCTATCTAGAGGGAAGACTGTGGTGCTTCACAATCATTGCAATTATCACACAATTCATTCCAGAAAGGATGGTTTTGAAGTTAATGTTCACAAATTACATGCATACTTCCAAAGATCATTTGAAAGGCATAAATTATTAATATTAATAATTTGTTCACCTCTTTCCCTTATTAAAAGCTTCAATCTGCAAGCATTTGAGGTTTGCATATCTGCAAGGAAAACATAACATCTGAATGAGTAATTGAATTATTTTGACTCTGTCTTCACATCAGAGCATCTGTGTCCTGACCTCAGTACTGCAGCAGGGCAGCAGAAACCCAAACAGGAGATGAGGGCGGCATTTCTAGCCCTAAAGACAGGATGAAAAAGGCACTCTGAAAGGTTATGAACATGATTTTCAGTGAGATTCCTCAAGTTGACTCCTGATCTTAACACTATGAGAATGACAGCTATAAGAGCCAGTTCTGGGGCAGGTTGAAATGAATGGAGAACATGGACACACTACTTTTAAGTTGTTCTAGGAATTCTATGCTTTTTTACATCCACATCTGACCACTTAGAATTAGAAAATTCTATGCAGATTTATGTAAAATAGTATACAAATAAAAATGTACCCCGCCCTTATTAAAATAGAACAGGCATTCGTATAATACGGCATCTTCTCCAGGCTTAAGATTCCTACCACCCTAAATTTTTTCTCAGCGATATTTTGCCCTGTGTTTTACTCTGTCTTCCAAATGTTCTGACACTCAACGCCCTGAAAGTCCCCGAGACTACCTCTGCCCACTCCTCTTGCCTTTTCTCAGCTGGTTCACCTTCTCTGCAAAATTTGACTTTATTAAACATTCTCTCCAAGTCCAGAACCAAGGACAGTGGTCAAGAGTTCAGCCTCATCTTCCTCATCTGCAAAATGAGATTATTATTAATACTTCCAAAGGTCACTCAGATAATTTAAATGGGAGAATTAGTATCAACTGTCTAGCTTGATGCCTGGTCCTTTGTATTGGATGAAAATTGCCAGGCAAACAATACATTTGTTTTCCGTGCTCTGGTTTTTCTCCTCCTGCAGATAGGAGGAGAAAAACCTACTTTTTACTTCTTCCTTTTACTCCTTAATTGTGAGTAACTCTCTCTCAAAGATTTGCTCATTTTGGAGTTTCCTATCAAATCCTTTTGGTCCCAAATTACTACCCTTATGAATGTAAATTATAAATCTGTGTCCTTGTGTCAGATCTTTCTCTCAAGTTCCAGATGAGTATTTCCAAGTTCCTGCTGGATTTCACCTTCAGGTTCTAAGGGAGCTCAGCATCTTCAGAAATGAACAAACTACTGCCTCTTCCCACCTCATTTTCATTTCCTTTCTTTACTTTTCATTCTGTTAAGGGGCCCACAATTCACTGAGTCTTTTATCTTTGAAGCCTCAAGTTCCTTCTTAGTCTTTAGCAATGGTTCTCAAACTCTGGTGTTAGGACTTAATTTATACTCTTAAAAATTCTTGAATACCCAAGAGAATTATATCTGACATTCTTAGCCATAATAGATTTAAAAACAGAAATATATATATATATATATACATATACATATATGTATAAATTTATACATGTATATGTATAAATTTAAGGATAGCAATAATAAAGTCATTACAAGTTAACATGATAAAATATTGTATAAAAATAATTTTAAACAAAAAAAATAGTGTAACATTGTTTTATATTTTTGCAAACATTTAACATCTGGCTCTAGGGCAACTGAATTCTTATCCTTGCTTCTGTTGCAGGACTGGAGCCTTCAGGAAACTGAGCTAGTGCAAAAGCCCCCTCTTGGAATTTTGATTCTTGTGATCATGTCAGAAAGATTTTAGATGTGTTGCTCAGAGTAACAGGCAATGAGTTTATTGAAGGGATAGAAAAAGGGAAAGGGATACTCTGAAGGAAGAGACAACAGTGTACCTCTCCTGCTCTCCAGTTTTATTGTGGATCTCAGAGAATTTTCCAGAAAGTCTCACCCAGGTTCTTGACTGACAGCAGAATGACATCAGACTTTCAAGTCCCTACTACCCTGACAACTCTCAGTTACTTCAGCCCATGCTGACTGGTTCTAGTTGGATTCTTAGCCATACATTCTTACAGATTTTATGGTTAGAAGAATTTATCTTTATCTCCCTGAGTTACAGGATCTAATCTCTGAAAAGGATCACAAACTCACATATATTTCCCCCTTCAGGTTAACTTGGATTTTTGTTTTTGTTTTTGTTTGTTTGTTTTTATAGTAACAGGCATGAGTTTATTAGAAGGAACTGGAAAGGGGAAAAGAGGGCACTCTCAAGAGAGAGAAGTGGCTCCTCTTAGAGTGGCAAACTCCACTGCATCTCTCCTGTCCTTCAGTTTTATTGGGATTCCTAGGGAAACTTCCAAAGAGTCCCACCAAGTTTCACCTCTTGACTTAACTGACAGCATAGAAATTGCATGGATCACCTCAAAGAGGATGGTATGGTGCTCAGAGTTGGGAGGTTTAAGGAAATTGGGTCCCCTGTTTTATTTCATACTTTGAACAGCCCTCAGCAAGCTTTCTTTGTGAGAGTTTAGATTTTATTTTGAGAGAGAGATTTTTAATATTTATTTATCTTTTTTTAGTTTTCAGTGGACCCAACATCTTTATTTGTATGTGGTGCTGAGGATCGAACCTGGGCCACACGCATGCCAGGCGAGAGCGCTACCGCTTGAGCCACATCCCCAGCCCAAGAGAGTCTAGATATTTTGATTGTCAGAATGCTTGGGAGTTGTGATAACTTTGGTGATAAAGGAGAGTCCAGGCCACCTGGTAGAGTGGGACATGATCTTGAAACAATATTTTTCTTAAGTGGATGTAATTTTGGCTGAGGGAGATTTTAACACCCCTGGGCCCATTTTCCAGGTGTTTGCCTTATTCTTAAGGCTCCCCATGGATTTTAGTCACCCTTCATTGTCCTTTCCTTCCTTACCTACTCATGGCTGATGAGCTACTTAACATTACTCCCCTAGAGGACTCAAATTCCTAAATTCTTTTACAGTGTTTAGGTGTTGATTGGATCAAGCTACTTCCTGCTGAGACCTGGTAAAGTTGGGAGGGAAGTGACCCTAAATTCTAGTTCTCTATCAGTGGGGCATAAACATTAAGAGTATTTAGCACTAAGGCAGTCCAAAAGTCCAAGCTGGTAGCAGGTGAATAACTGGACAAAGCATACATAGGGCAGGGCTCATGCTTAGAGGTGAATTAGAGTTCCCACCAATGTGAGTCTTGAGTGAGGTCCCAGGATGTTCTACTCGTCTGGAGATAAAGATGAGAGACTAAGAGGAAGAAAAAAAATGTCTCCTCACCCTAATGGGCATTGAGGTTCAAAATCTTATAATTGCTGGCCTTCATATTCTACAAAAGCATCCCCTTTGCCAAGAACCTTTACAGTTGCCAGTGGGTAAGATTTGCCTGCACCCCCTCCCCAAAAAGACCAAGGGTAAAAGCCTCAATTCTTAAACCTAAGGGCTATGACATCTGAGTTTCAATCAAGAAATCTTTTGGTCCTCACTAGAGTGTGTTGTAGCCAAAAATAAATAAATAAATAATGTCAAGATGTTTCCGGTAGTCGCTAAGAATCTGAAGCGGAAAATACAGGTTCAGAAGAGACTAATGAAGAGGGTAGCCAGGAAATAATCAGGGTAATACGCAATAACCAGGCAGCAAACACCAAACATGACACCAGTGCAAACACCAAATGCACAAAGCTGAGACGGTTGAGGAGGGCCCCTCTTCATCCTGATTCTTGCTATCATGCCAGAAAGATTTCAGGCGTGCCTTTCAGAGTAGAGGCATGAGTTTATTAGAAGGAATGAGTAAGGGGAAAGGGGGACATTCTCAAGAGAGAGAGTGGGTCCTCTCAGGAGAAGGAACCAGCTTTCATTTTAGTATACAGAATTATTTCACATATATTTCTTGCTTCATCAACCAGACTGTTTTACAGTGTGCATTCAAGAGCCATAATTTAATAAAATTAACACTTTTTGCTGTGAGTGCTGGGAGGTGGAAAATACAGTGACAACTAGGTCAGCTTGGTGCTGCAGACTTGGTTCACACTGAGGCAACCAGCTGTGTTACCCCCGTGGATCCTGCACCATCAGTGCAA